GTCGATCTCCTCCGCGGTCCAGAAGGAGGCCTCGTGCTGCTTGTACATCTCCCAGATTTCGGGGTAGTGGATGGGAAAGGTCACCCACCGTTGCTTGTTCTCTTTCAGCAAAACCTCCTGCTCCTTCTCGCACATCTTCAAATCGTCCGACACCTGCTTCGCGTGCGCGGAGATGCGCAGCTTTTGTTTCGCACCGAAAGGGGTGGTCTCCACGTGGTCCTCACGCTCTTCCGGAGAGGAGAGCTCCTGTCCGGACTCGGAAGAAGCGGGCGAGTTCGTCACCGGCGTGTCGATGCTCGCGACCTTGCTGTCCTGGTCGATAGAAGAAAGCCCCTTGGAAAGCGCCGCGGACGGGCTTTGCTGCGGTGAAGTGGTGATGACAGTCATGATTTTTTTTTCGAGCTTCTGCTTCGCCGATTCGGTATTTCAAGCCGACGAAATAAATCTTCGTAGTGCGAAACTAAGCTGTTGGTTCTCTCGAAGTAGTTGTACTTTTGTTTTTCTAAATCGCAATTTTGGGTTTGGTGTGTTTGCGGCATGAAAACACTTTCTGGCTAAGGCAAGCGCTAAGAGCATCACGATCAACACGTCAATCTTACCCCAAGCCCAGAACAAGATCGCGAAGCAAACAAAGTAGAATCTTTACCCTTCATGTACTACGACACTGCTCCACCGGAAAGTACGACGAGAGAATAGAAAGCTATTGCCGACGAGCCGACGAAACGCAATCCCTCATGAGTTATCACTCGATCGAATCCGATGAACACGCATCCGAGGCATTAACAAAGATGAGGTTTAAACACGAGAAAATTGAAACTCAACAAGTGCACTTCTACTGGACACAAAACAAACGAGCGTCTTATCTCTTCGGCATCGGTTTTCCTTTGGCTTTTCAGCGGATTGCGCTTGCAACGACTCGTACAGGAAACTAAAGAAAGTCCGACATAATATTTTCTAAAGCAAGAAATTGAGAGTTTAGAAGCTCTTTCCCTTTGCCGTGAGTTGCTCTAGTTATTTCTGGACAAGCAGGAAACCTCTCCCTGCTACCTACTACACCGTGCAACTAAAACCCTCCTTTTGTAAGAAGACTTTTAGAAGATACGTCGCGTGCTGCAACAACCAAGTCTGTACACTGGAAAAGAAGTTCAACGGTTTACTAAGACTAGAAAAACAAATCATCATACATTTATGAGTATACAATGGGACGACGAGCTCAATTTTACTACGTTCACTTCAACATATTTGAAATGCATAATGCACACTACTTGCAGCAGCCCCGAACGGGATAAAACGCAAGTCCCAGCAGTAGCACCAAAATTCAGTTCGTATGAGGCCGAGGTTTTCGTTTCGAGATTCAGCAGCTTTCGCTTGTCCGCATCAATTTCATTTTCATCGAGGTACAAAATTCTGACTATCTTACGTGAGACCTGAGCACAGCCACTTCCTTAGAAGTCCTCATCGATCGAGAAACCGTGCATTTCCGCGCCGGTGTTGGTTCCGTTCCCCGCTCCCTCGGCCGCCTTCATGACCCCGGCCTTCTGGTAGTCGCCGACCCGCTTCTCGAAGAAGTTGGTTTTGCCCTGCAGCGAGATGAGCTCCATCCAGTCGAA